CAAACTGGGGACTCTTCAGGGCATGGGACAATGTTCTACCAGCTGAGCCACATTGGCCAGGGCATAAAACATGTAACTGTTAAGTTTGACCTGCAATTCTTTTTTTAAAAAATTTTTAATTGATTTTTTTTAAGAGAAAGTAGCAAAATTACAGTTATGAAGTAGCAATGAAAATAACTTTATGGTTGGGGGTCACCACAACATGAGGAACTGTATTAAAGGGTCACGGCATTAGGAAGGTTGAGAACCACTGTTCTAGATTATCTGGAGGGCCTTGGAAGTTTACATTTTTTCCTTTTTCATTTAATACATTTCTTTGTAGCAAGTAGGACCATTCAGTCAACAATTTTTTACCAGGTACCTACTTTTCTACATAGGCTACTGCCAATACAGCTCAAGGTGTGTTAGTTTGGTTATCTCAGCCTAAAAACGATTTTCCTAAAGTGCTATGTCAACATTTCTCACCTTAGCTTCTCAATTTACTCAAAACTATCAAACTGGTTAATTTTGATCAACGCAATACCATCAAGAAATATGTTTAAGAGAACTGGCCAGTGTGGCTCAGTTGGGTGGAGTGTTCTCCTGTGCACCAAAGGGTTACTGGTTTGATTCCCAGTCAGGGCACATACCTAGGTTGCAGGTTTGATCCCCAGTGGGGGCACATACAGGTAGCAACTGATCGATGTCCCTCTCTCTCCCTTCCGCTCACTCTAAAACCAATAAAACATATCCTCGGGTGAGGATTAAAAAAAAAGAAAGAAAAAAATATGTTTAAGAGATCTTCATCTTTTGAAATACAGCATACAATGAAATAAAATACTGACTGAAATCAGAGGAATCTGGATTCAAATCCTACTTCGGCAACTTAATAACTATTTGGATCTTGGGTAAGTTACTGAACTCTTCTGAGCTTCTACAAATTTTCTCTCCTCTGTGCTAGGATAATCCCAGAATATCAAACTAAGAAGCCCATTTTCTCCCTCTTCAAGCTATTATATATACATCCTACAAAATTAAACTAAATAGGCCAGCCTTTAACATAGTAATGATACGTGTTGGAGGTGATACATGTACACTTCCAACAAATTTTTTAAAATATATTTCTTTATTGATTTCCGAGAGGAAGGGAGAGGGAGAGATAGAAATATCAATGATGAGAATCATTGACGCCCACTGCAGCCAGTGAACCAGCCAATCGTGGGTGGGGCCAGTGGCCAACCTCCTGCGGACCCTCCCCCCCGGCTGGCCTCTCTCCCAGTCAGCACCCCCACACTAATTAGGGGCGAGGCTGGCCAGCCAACCAACCACCCACGGCCCCTCCCCCTGGCCGCTGGCCCCCAATCGCCCCCCCATTCCGGGGAGAGGCCCTCTGGCCAATCGCCCATGGCCCCTCTCCCTGGGCTGGCCTGGCCCTGATTGGGCCCCAATAAGGGGCAGCCCAGCCAACCAGCCTCCGGCTGTCTCCTCCTCCCGACAGGCCCAGCCTCAATCCATACTGCCAGTTGGGAGGCCAATCGGATATCCATTGTTTATGTGAACTTTCTTCCTTTGCTTGTATTCAAGTTGCTTGTAATCTATATATATACACGCCTAAGTGACCAAATGACTGAAAAACCGAATGACTGGTCGGTGGAAGAGGCTGATCAGGGGCAGGGCCAGCCAGGAGCAAGGGGTTATAAGAGGTTGGCTGCTGGCCACACCCCCTGATCCAGCTGATTTGCTGGCTGCAGTGGGCATCATAGCGACTGGTCATTCTGGTCGTTATGGCGTTCTGGTCGCTGGCTTTTTATATATATAGATTACCAGATTAGATCAGAGATTAGTTTAAGAATTGACTGCTCATGATAATCTTCCAGCCTCAAAATAACAAAGGCATCTATGTT